CCGAGAGAGCGTCTGAGTGGGCTCAAGAGGGCGTCTGAGCGTGCCCAAGAGGGCGTCTGAGCGGGCACAGAAGATAATATGGAAGACGACACGTGTTGCTTTGCTCCATAATGAGAGGTGATTTCGACGAAGTGCATCTAATCTCTCACGCGTCTTCGTTGGGTAGCGGTCGTGGTAACAACAGGCTGGTTATGATCATAGAAGCAGGAGGGAGTATGGAGCTAGAAACCTCCAAGTCTAGTCATGACTTTCAGTGGATTGATGTTGTCGGTTTTCCCTATTTGTTCCGTTTTTTTAGCTTTTCCCCCCTTCCTCAAGTAGGGTATTAGTTTTGTATGCTTGAACTCCCTGTGGTGACTTACTAACAGGTTTGGTAAGTAGCAGCCACATTGTCGTTTTTGACGATAGCCGAATATGTTTTCAGTGCTGGTGTAGCGTCTATGCCTGTGAACTAGCAGTTTCCTGGAAACGATGAGGGGTAGGGTTCAAGGGGGTGAAGGTAATAGGGGTTTTTTGGAGGAAGAGGGGTGAGCTCGAAGAGTGGAAAGATGCTGCTCTGGTTCTGACGTGCTCGAGATGTGATGAATTTTCTAATTGTTATTTAATCAGCCTGCTATCGATTTTCATAGATTGTCACAAAATTTACCCCTGGATAACCCTGATTTTCTAATCTGGATTTTAAAAGGATTGTTTCGATCCAAAATTCCCAAAGAACTAATCTGATTGGGTATTCCAATTCGTATTCCAATTTGTAATATCTGATTGATCTTTTACTCCCATTAATTCAAAAAGGATAAGTATGCAACTCTTGATGCTTACCAAATGATGATGACCTAATTAGGTTTTCTGAATTGTGTCTTCTGGAAAATAATTTCTCATTTTTTTTTCGTGTTATACATCTTTGCTACGAGTTTCTCAAACCACGGTTTGGGAATCAGATTCGAAAATCCGTTAAGGATATCTAAGCCTGATTTTCGTATAATTTCTCGTAATTTCTGTCATGCAGTAGTCTTCCTTATCATTGATCTTATGGTCTTATGGTCCTGTTTTTTTTCTTTTTTTTCACACAAACTCATTTTCTGATTGTCGATGCCTAATAGTGAGCTTCTACAGTTTTTCAAATCCTATGATTACTAATCATAACACTGTGCGGTAACATTTGATTCGGATTGGCTTGTTAATTCCAACTTCCTGGTCTTGAGGGGCGTGAGCGTGGCTTGCTGTGTATGTGTGGGGTGTCTTCCTTGAGGGTTGGAGCCTCCCCCCGTGAGGGTTTCACAAGGTGGGAGGTGTTATTCTTGGAGGGGGGAGGCGGTATTGGGGGATTGCTGTCTCTTAGCCAGACTGATTTAGGGCCGGATCAGTACTGGCGGGTGGGGAGAGAAGGCAAGGGGGTGGCTGCTTATAGCAGTGTTAGAATCTTTTGAGGGAAGGAGATAGCTTTATCTTAAATG